CATTTGCAAGAGAAATCACGACAACAAGATATTCTTTGGTGAAAACAACTCTGACGCAAAATTGGAAATAACGAATATCCAACTTTACATACCGGTAATCACTCCTTCCGTAGAAGTGGAAACGAGAATATTCAACTCTTTAACCAAAGACATCGAAATTGCTTTTCTTCGTCGTAACACGGTAGGTAGCATGACTTTAACGGGAGAATCCACCACGTGGCCAATTACCAACACCGTCAAACCAGCGAGATATCTAATGGTCGGTTTCAAAAACTTGCCAGACTCTCAGACAAACAACAACAACATTTTCAGAGTGGCATTGAACCATACTCAAGATCCCATCATTCGCAAAGTTCAAGTCAGATTGAACAACGATAATTATCCCAATCAACCTTTGACAATTGATCCTTCCAAAAAAGATTACAACGAATTGTACAGAAACTATAAAAACATGTGCAAATTGTTTGGAAATACGCCTCAGTTTGAATACACAGATTTTTCACTCAATCATCCAATCTTTTGTTTCGATCTGTCAGCTCATCAAGAAGGTCTTTTCAAAACAGGGGTAAACATAAATATTCACATCGATAAAACACAAGGAGATGTGACCGGCTACTGTTTATTGCTGGAAGAAGCAAAACATTTGATTAAAATATCAGATAGAAGAATGATAAGAATTGAATAAAAAAACACCCTTTAAAAATGAAACCAGAAACTTTAGTGATGAAAATAATAGAAGCTATGGAAACGAATTCGCCGACTCTAATAACTTACAACGGTAAAAAAGTGCATATAACCCAAAAAATTATCGATAAATACAAACATTGCAAAGTCAGAGACGATATAGACTTGGAAAGAATTGATGAGAATTTAACTAAAAAAGGTGGATTTTTACCTTTCTTACCTTTAATCTTTGCTGGTTTAGCTGCAGCCGGTGCAACTGCTGGTGGAGCTGCTGGGATAGCCAAAGCTAACAACAATAAGAAAGCTGAAGCCGCTGCAAACGCCGAAGCGCGTAGACACAATTGG